GGCAGTTCTGGGGGCCCTGGCATGACCGAACTCAAGCCATGGCATCGAATTGGATATCTGCCTTTTTTCCGTCTAAGCACAAAGTAACGAGTGCTCTCAGCTGTAAGCGCATGCAGCATCTGGGGTGTACATTGTGATGCTTTTTTGCTGTACATGGCATGAAAAGCTTTCGGCAGCTTCGAGCTACTCAAGGGGTCTTTCGTAGCCATCCCCTTTGACACGAAGAAACACAGGCGCGCATCTGCACTCTGTCACACGAGCGAAGTGGAATCTCAGCACTCCTCCTCAGACTTGTCGCTAGACTTTGTCTGATCATCGTCTTGACCACTGAGCTATGAGAGACGACACCCGGGCTCGATCACAGACCTCGTAGTAGTGCAGAGCATGCCTCCCTGACATGTCCTTTTCTCGCCACAGCCACAACACATAGCGTAGCTGCTTTATTGTTGGTCCATCATCACTTCTCGCTAGTTCAGCAAGACGACCACCAAGACGATGAACTTGATCATCCTTTAACCCTGACACAGGTAAGCCCTCTGAACGAAGTCCTTCTTTTAGACACTCGCAGGTCATTAGTTTACATACGTCCTCGCTCACCCGCACCAGTTCATCCCAAAGAACCACTGAGCTTCTTCCTGACTGTCTCATTTCCTGCACAGGCCGCGTTGTCTGTGTCCTCGGGCTTGGAGTCCGCGGAATGTCCCTTGTCGGTGTATGAGTAGGCGTCGGCGATAACGTAGGCTCCGCAGTCCACGGCGTGCTCTGAAAAAGCTGGTCACCATCACTGCTGGCCGGCTCACCAACACGTCTTGACTCCCTATCCTCTGGTCGCGAGGTAGCCCGCAGACGCAAAGTCTCCGATGGAGTAGAGGAAGACGCTGCTCTCGTAGTCGGCGGTGTAGAAGAAGACGCTGCTCTCGTAGTTGACGTCCGCTGCTCACCTTGAGGAGCTACCCTCTCGCTCTGTGCACTGATCCTTTCAAGCTCTCTCTCAATGGCCTCTGTGGTAGCCACTTGCAACTTTCGTAGCTTCTTCAGCTTTCTCTGACTTGCACCAGGCGTGTACTCGTGGTAGATTTCGTCACCAAGCCACTTTAGGGCTTCCCAGACCAGTAAAGCTCCCAGTCCCATGAGAACCAGCATCAGCATTCCGACCAGGTCACCATCCACTTGGATCCCCGATCCTCGCGTAGTTGACGAGCTGGCCTCCTCTGTAGCTTGCGCGGACACAATCAACAAGCAGCACACCAAAGCAACTGTCATCTTAGAGATGCCATTAGTCACGGCAACTGCAGGAGCAGGACCCCGATCATCACCTCCAACTCCCCACAAAGACAACAATGATGTCATCCGAGCGTAACTGAGAGCCTTAGTAAGGAGATCTGCTGGTTGTACTTCTCCTGGACGATGTCGTGCTGTCATCAGCCCGTGACTGATTTGTTCTTGTAGCCATCCTGCCTTTATCCTTAGGTGTCGCGTTCTCCACGAGCTGGATCCCGAGGATATACTCAGAGCTGCCATGCTGTCTGAGGCGATCTCCTTACCTTCCACCACCTCGCCGATGTTCAGTAAGAGAGCTTCCACCCCCTTCATAGCGATAGCACCATCTATCATGGAAAGCAACTCAGCTTCTGCTGTCGACAACGTAATCATCTGCTGTCTCCCACTTCTCCAAACGATTGGAACTCCCCCATATGTTACGACCCATCCTCCATGCGATCTCCCGCCCTGTGGCGCATAAGCCGCATCACAGTACATCACAAGCCCTGTGTCTGACCAACGCACCTTCAGGCCGTAGTGAATAGTCTTGAAGAGATAGCCAATCGCCTTAATCCCAGTTTGTATTGCTTGGGACGGGACTCGGGTACACATACTCGCCATCATTGACGTTGTATAAGCCAGGTCTGGCCTTGTACGCTGCGCCACCCACAACACTTCACCTGTAAGTTGCTGTGCGTCCTTAATAGCTCCTTCTTTGATGTCCTCCTCCTGGTCCAGGATTGCTGCCAGATCTTTGGTGATTGGCACACGACTCATACTGGTGCTCTTAATGCCATGTGTCCTCACCAACTCCTGAATAAATCCTTGTTGATGGATTGTAATCTCACCCATTGACTCTGTTTCACGATGGAGTTCCATCCCAAGAAAACGCACTGCAGTTGTAGGCCCGAGCACCGTCAACTCAGATGTGTCCCAAACATCCTGTATTATAGCCGTAAGTTCTAGCACCAGCTCACGAGGTCCACATAAAAGGAAATCGTCCACATACACCACCACTATGGCTTGTACTGCACCATCTCGATCTCGCAACGTCCACCAAGAAGTGATAGCGCGACCTTGCTTCCATTTCAAACCTCGCGGTGCTGACATAGTTTGCATTGTGGCATCGCGGAAGTTAGTCCACAGCTTCGGTGCCTCTCTAAGTCCATAGAGAGCCCT